CATTTTCTTAGAGTAGAAAAGGGCAGAGGCTCAAGGTAAATGTATCCAATTTGAAGAATTTCTACCCTTACTCATTCAACCAATATTTTAAGCACACACTCCATGCCAGCCATGGAGGTTGTACTAATGAACAAAAACAACAACAAAAGGACAGCCTTTTTGGAGTTTAAAGTCTAGAACAGATAGACATTAATAATCTCACAAATACAACCTTATAAACTGCTCCAAATATTTTTTTATAAATGCCCTGTTTATGGTGTTAACAGAAGCTAAGAGTCAGGGAAGGGTTCTTATTTGCATTGTTGTCTTAAGTATGAGTCTGAGGGGGAGCGGGAGGAGGATGGAGGTACAAAGATAAAGAGGATAATACTGAAAAAAAAAACAACAACAACTAATCAGGAATTCTATACCCATTGATAATACCTTTCAGAAATAAAGGTGAAATAAAGGACTTTTCAGACACAGAATCCAAACAATTCAGTAGAGGCAGATTAGTCACTGGAAAACATGTTAAAAGAATTTCTTCAGGCAGAAGAATAATAATTTTAAATGAAAACCCAGGGCTACATGAAAGAAAATGGTAACTACATGGTATATAATGATTTTGTCTTATATTTTATATTTCTTTAAGACATAATTGACTGCCTAAAGCAAAAATAATACTCATAAAGATGTGTTATGAGGAAATCATTATGCCCATTTTAGAGACAGAAAACTAAGATTATTACAATCATTGGGGAGCTTGTTAAAATTCAGATTTATATCAAATAGATCTGAGGTGGGTGTCTAAGATTGTGCATTTCTATCAAACCCCCAGGCAATGCCAATGCTGCTGCTCATTTTGAACTATATTTTGACCAGTATATATCATAACGCAAATTTTGATAAATGTACACTCCTTGTACTAGGCTTGAGGCTAATAGGTCTCCTGGGATACTCCCAGCAGGACTATGCTTTATTTGTACAACTCAACTCAAAAGCAAGAAGATCATAGCAACTAACAACCTGTGCACCCAACTAGTAAAAGAGATAAATATGTCCAAGTTCTTTACCTTGGATTTCCAGGCCATCCATAAGTTACCTCTACCTTCCTTTATGTTTTTTATACTATGTGGTTCCACCCAGAATGGGGTGAGGGTTGGAAGTGCCATTTACATTTCTTTTTATTTTTAATTTAAATAATTTTTCAATTACAATCGACATACAATAAAGTTTATATTAGTTTCGAGTGCACAACAGAGTGTGGAATAAACTCTCAAGACATGAATTGCTTGCTTTTTGGAGTACTGGGGGAAATCAACTTTCTTCATCCCTTTTGTCTTTATAGGAGTTGTTCTTTCTCCCTGCATGCTCTTTGTCTGTCACTGAGATGTTCATCTCAGATTTACTCATTCTACAAGGTCCAGTTAGTTCAGGCTCTTTCTCTAAGAAGTCTTCCAAGTGCCCCAACCACAGTGAACTGTGCTCTCCTCCATGGCATGCCGTGGCTACTTATATTAACACTGGAGGCCCAGTGCACAAAATACATGCACGGTAGGGTCCCTAGAGGCTGCCGGCTGCTGGCCAGGGGCCTCCCTTTGTTCTGCGCTGCCCCCTGATGGTTAGTGCACATCATAGCGAGAGATGAAACTCCCAGTTAGTCGAACTCCCAAGGGACACTTTCCATATTAGGCGTTTATATATAAAGATCATTATCGTACAGCATACTTTATATTGGAGCCATGGGCGTTACATTATCTTTCCCTATTATATGTTGAACTCTTGGAGATAATGACCCTTGTCTTCTCTGTTTTTAAACCCTTTTCCCTATAGTACTTAATACAGAGACATACCCTAATGAATGCTTGCTTAATTAGTTAATTATGGAGAAAATGTATTAGTGTCTAGAGAAAAACTTACCATCTCCTTTTGAAAACAAAACTTAAGAAACAATTTGAGAAAAACACAAGACCAAAACTAATAAAAAATAACTGTCATATACTGAGAGATTATTAAATTCCAGGTACTGTGCTAAGCATGTTTCACACATTGTCATTGAATCCTCATAAAAACTCTGAGACTAGACGTTACTTCTATTTGTAGAAGAGCAAACTGAGACTTAAAAAAGACAAATGACTTATCCAAGGTCACTGGTTCTGAAACGTAGATGTACATCATATTGCCTGGGGAGTTTTAATAAATATTGATTAATGCCTTAACCCCATCCCCAAATATTATGACTTCATTGGTCTGGGGTGGGGTTTGGATATCAGAGTTTTTAGGATCCCCTGATCCTAAAATGCACCATTTCTATTTCCTGGATTAACTTGATAATCCTCATGAACCCTCATCCCAAGGGATGGCGGGTAAAACCCAAATTTAGTTTAATCACGTTAACTCCGGCCGAGGTGGTATTTCAATGCCTTAAGGTCACTCAGCCTTTTTCTCTCAAGTGTTTCCAATGTCTTCGCTCTCTCCTCAGAGCCACTGCCCAGGCCCTTCCACTGAATCCTGGATTCTCTGGTCCCTTGCTGCCTGGTTCCTGGAACCTTGCTTGGCAGACAACCTGAAGGCCAGTGACTGGTGAACTTGACATCAGTGTTCTCTCACTCCAGACAGGGCCCGTGGTATATCTCTCCCTGCTCCTCCACAAGCTACACTTCCCTCTGGGGGTGATCACTCCCTTTCAACTTCAGGCCAGGTGGCCCACCCTGCAGCACTCCACCATGGATCACTCTGACTCCAGAAGAGCAGCCCTTAAGGCAGTGATGGTGAACCTTTTGAGCTCAGCGTGTCAGCATTTTGAAAAACCCTAACTTAACTCTGGTGCCGTGTCACATATAGAAATTTTTTGATATTTGCAACCATAGTAAAACAAAGACTTATATTTTTGATATTTATTTTATATATTTAAATGCCATTTAACAAAGAAAAATCAACCAAAAAAATGAGTTCGCGTGTCACCTCTGACAAGCGTGTCATAGGTTCGCCATCACTGCCTTAGACAGTGGTTCTCAACCTTCTGGCCCTTTAAATACAGTTCCTCATGTTGTGACCCAACCATAAAATTATTTTCGTTGCTACTTCATAACTGTAATGTTGCTACTGTTATGAATCGTAATGTAAATATCTGATATGCAGGATGGTCTTAGGCGACCCCTGTGAAAGGGTCGTTCGAACACCAAAGGGGTCGCGACCCACAGGTTGAGAACCACTGCTCTAGTGGCTGTGGCGCCACTTTCTCCAGGAAGGACAAAGAGAGGCCCTGACATCCACCAGCTCCTCCGTCAGAGGGGGAGGGTTTTATCTGGTTGCCTGATCACCCCTGGGGAAAAGAAAAACCCTCTTCTGTTTTCATTTTCCTCCTAAATCTACCTAAAAGCTTTCCTCTTTCTGCACTTTAGCCCAGAGAGGCTGATAAAGATACATGGGTTTTGCCACCTTCGTCATTGAGCTACTAACTTGTTCTTCCCACCCCACCTGTGACAGCAGGACTGGCCCTCAGAGACCTCTTCCTCTCTCACAGTGACATTCCCTACTCTGAACCCTTCTCCTTCCCATGGTGGCATCTTTCTTCCCTCATACTCTAGGACTTGAGCAGAAGAACATGATTTTCCACAAAAAGGAGAAAAAACATCTCTTTAACATTTTCAAAATATTACCCTCATTACATGAGTAAATCAAGATGTAAGTGGTGAGTATCTAATCTAATAATAGACAAACAGGGTAATTGACCGTACCTTCGCTACGCCTCCCATTGACTAATCAACGAGATATGCAAATTAACTGCCAACAAAGATGGCAGTTAATTTGCATACATAGGCACGAAGCAGAGCAGCCAAGGCGCTGAAGGCGGATCCGGCCGGAGAGAAGGCCTGGGTGCCGGGTGCCGGAGGAAAACCGGTGCCGCAGCCAGGGGAAGGGAAGGCCTATTGCACAAATCTTTTCATGCAACAGGCCTCTAGTTAAGAATAGAATAAATGGAGTAAAAGTGGCAGAAAATAATAAAAAGTTTCTTAAAATAGTGAACACATTCAGGTCATAGTGAACCCTCAATTTTTTAAAAAAAGTATTGTAGTTGCAGCATTAATTGTGGCATTGTGATGGGTAATTCCACTGTTAACTGTGGTAATCGACGAGATGTCAGAAGATGGATAATCCTGTTCACAGCTCAGCTGGTGACGGGGGTATGGTTTGACTGGTGTTGACCTCAAGCAGTATTTCCAAATATGGATGTCATTGCCGAAATTCACAGTCCACCTTCCAAATCTGCACCACGTACCAAGTGTTCACAAATTGTATGTCTGTGGCCACAGCCGTCTTTGTTTCTATTAGCTGTAGCACCCGCTCATGGCAATGCTGCAACTTTAAAACCAGCAATATCGCATTTATATCAGTCACTGACATGCCATCAAGGTGAGGGAGACCAGAAATGGCAGGGCCACATGAGCCATGGAGATGGCCACATAAGCAAGCCCCAGAGGCACCTGGAAACCAGGGTTATGCTAGTGGCAGGAGTCACCACGGGATCAGCTTAGACAAATGCCACCCAGGTAACTTGGCAAGGTTAGTATGAGGCATTACCACTTCAAGGGGAATGAAAACTTCTGTCCACTGTCAACCTCAATAAACTATGGACCTTGGTCAGCAAGCAGATACAGGTACATCAGTGGTTCTCAATCTTCCTAATGCCATGACCCTTTAATACAGTTCCTCAGGTTGTGGTGACCCCCAACCATAAAATTATTTTCGTTGCTACTTCATAACTATAATTTTGCTACTGTTATGAATCATAATGTAAATATCTGATATGCAGGATGTATTTTCATTGTTACAAATTGAACATAATTAAAGCATAGTGATTAATCACAAAAACAATATGTAATTATATATGTGTTTTCCGATGGTCTTAGGCGACCCCTGTGAAAGGGTCGTTCGACCCCCAAAGGGGTCGCGACCCACAGGTTGAGAACCGCTGGCCAATAGGATATTTTCCAAACTTCTTTACTCAAACAAACAGAGGTATCCTATTCCCTGGTAGATGCTTTTCATGAAACAACAAAAAAAACAGAATAAACTCATCTCTGCCTTGGTAACTTCTTCTGGTCAACCACCCACCTCCCACTGTCCCAAAGTGTGCCTTTCCTAGCTCTGCTACTCTGCTCGAGGGCTCCAAAAGCTAACACCTTGAAAGGCTTACATCTTGTATTAATTGCCCAGACCCAAACAGAATTCTCCAAAGAGATCAGTTCAAAATTATTACTTACCAACTTATCTAGGAAGGTTACCATGTCCTAAGAAAGAAAACACAACACAAAATCAGAAATTGTATCCACCCACCTCAGCCACTTCCAGATTAGAATTACTGTGTCAGCCTTTGTTTTGGACTGAATTTTATCTCCCTAAAATTCATAGGTTGAAGCCCTAACCCTTGGTACCTCCGAATGCGACTGTATCTGAAGATGGGGTCATTAAAAAAGGTGATGAACGTTAAAATGAGGTCATTAGGGTGAGCCCTAATCCAATGACTGGTGTCCTTATAAGAAGAGGAGAGTTAGCTCCATCAGTGTGGCTCCGTTGGTTGAGCGTCACCCCATTCAATGAGAGGTCACCAGGTCAAATCCCCATCAGGGCACATCCCTGGGATGCAGGCTCGATCCCCAGTAGTGGGTATGTAGGAGGCAGCCAATAGATGTCTCATTGATGTTTCTCTCTCTCTCCCTCCCTTCCTTTCTCTCAAAAAAATCAATTAAAAAGCACATTTTAAAAAAAAGAAGAGGAGATTTGGATACACACAGAGGAAAAACCATGTAAAGACACAGGGAACACATTTTAAAAAAAAGAAGAGGAGATTTGGACATAGATACACACAGAGGAAAAACCATGTAAAGACACAGGGAGAAGATGGCCATCTTCAAGCCTCATCTAGAAGCCTCAAATAAACCATGCTGACACCTTGATCTCAGACTTCTAGCCTCCAGAATGGCAAGAGAATAAATTGCTGTTGCTTTAGCCACTCAGTCTGCAGTACTTTGTTATGGCAGCCTGAGCGAACTAACACAATGTTCAATCATTTCACTCGCTTTTGAGTTATCTCCCTTCCACTTCCAGCATCCTCTCAGAAGTGGCAGAGTGGGGGAGGCAAAGACTTAGAAATTGAGAAAGGAAAAACAACCCTAGCTGGAAATTAAGCTTTTACCCATGCTCCCTTATGAGATGCAAAGGTTGCATGAGGGGCTGAATGGGGGGAGCTCCACAGGAGTGGTGACTCTGAGATGGTGGCTTTTTATAATTTGAGTGTAATCAACATTATTGCCAGTCTTCTGTTTCTTCCCCTTGACCCCTCCAGCCTTTGCTTTTGTTCTAAGAAGGTCTGCCCCTTTCTCCCCCTGCAAGCTCGGAGGTGAGGGTCCCCCTCCCCCATGGTGCTTCTGGCCATCTTAGAATAGGAATGCCATTACAGTCACCAATCCATACAATAATCCTTAGGTCTGGCCACCAATATCTTTTACCAAAATATAGTGATTCTTAAAATTCCCAGGATGGAAAGACAATCTGGTGGAGTGGCTAAGAGGAGAGATGGGGGAGCTATTGTAGGGTTCAAACATGGCTCTACTGGCTGTTGACCTCAGGCAATGACTTTCCCTCCCTGTGACTCAGTTTCCTCTTCCATACAGCAAACGTTGGCTATCATTTTGAAATGTTATCTCAACTTTCAGTAAGAATTTACACCTAAATTCTGTGAAATGATGTTTCCCTAGGATTTAAATGAGTACCCACATTTCTGTCTTATAACAGTAAAAATTCCAGGATGAAAAAGATATTACAGATGTTATCCAAAGACTCTTCTTACCTTGCATAATATTTCCAAGGAATATTCTTCTATTTCTGCAATTAAAAAAAAATTCTTATAACAAAAATTCCAGGATGAAAAAGATATTACAGATGTTATCCAAAGACTCTTCTTACCTTGCATAATATTTCCAAGGAATATTCTTCTTCTA